GCCACCAGGGAGGGCCTGGACATAACTTTTTAGTGTATATTAGATACATACATGAAGCAGTCAAACACCAATTGAATACCAATACCTGATATTTAAAGGTCTTGGCTGGGGATTTAAATGTGGGGGTTATCAGGATATACAGTATAGTGAGCATGAGATTGGAAAAGATCACTAAAAGAGTTAATGTAGTGAGGAAAGAGGATGTCTGAGGACTGGGCCTTGGGGCCCCAATGTTTAAAGACTCAGAAATGAAGATTGAGAAGGCATCCCCAGTTGAAGTAGAAAGAGAGTCACGGAGCTGTGGTATCCTTGAATCAAGTGAAGAAAGTGTTTTTAAGAATTAGGGGTAATCCAGTGTCACATCTGCAGACATGTCAAATAAGATAAGGGCTGAAATCTTATCATTTGATTTTGCATTGAGGAAAGCACTAATGACCTTGACAAAACATTTTGTGAAATCAAGCAGTTTAGTAAGGTAGGAGGATATAAAATCAACACACAAAAGACAGAGGCCCCTTTTCAATGAAAACAAAAAAAAAAAATCAAATACATGGGAATCAGACTAACAAAAGAAGTAAAAGACCTATACAAGAAAACTACAAAACACTGTTAAAACATTTTGTGAAGTGGAAGCAAAATCCTGACTGGAATAGATTTGAGGAGAATGAGAGGAAAGACATGAGAGGATGTAGACAACTGTTTGGAGAAATTTCCTGCAAAGAGGAGAATGACAATGTTACTAAAGACGGAATTAGAGTCCTGAGGAGTTTCGTTTTCTTCTCTTTACAGTAGAAGAGATAAAATATGTTTGACAGTTAAAGGTGATAATCCAGAAGAGATACAAAGAGAAAAAAAAATTAGACTGGACAAGACAGGATCTAGTGTACAAATAGAAGGATTGTTCATAGGAGTATAATCAATGTGTAATAACAGAAGGGAAATCAGGGTTTATGGCTGCAGATACACATAGGTGAGTTTACAGAAGTGATTTTCTGATTGCTTCAGATTTCTCACTAAAGTAGGAAGAAGGTTAGCTGAGAATAAGGAAGAAGGTATCAGAAAAATAGGTGTGAACTGACTGTCTAGGATAGGGTAAACATTTTCTGTAGAGTGCCAGATAATAAATATTTCGCTTTTTTAAAATCCTCAGGCCTTTCAGGGGAATAATAATAATAACAATGAACAACTATATACCAGAGACATTTTATGCCTGTGGAGTGGGGAATGGGATCAAAAATGGGGTGGGAGGGCCCTCCCTCCCTGGTGGCGCAGCAGGTTAAAGCACAGCACTAAGAAGCAAAGCCACTTCTGCATGAGTTCGATTCCCGCCTGCCCCGGAGGTGACCACATGGTGCGCCAGACCTCTCGTGACTGGCCCACTGCTCCCCTCAGCAGTATAGTCGATCAAGCTGCCTGTTCTGAACCTCACTGTGGCTCTGGTGAAGCCTCTCACCGCCCCTGCACCTCTGGCCTGTCCCCCAGTTCTGTATGCACAAATAAATAAATATTTAAAAAAAAAAAAAAGATGGGGTGGGGAGGAAGTGCACAGGACAGTGGTGATGTCACACAGGTGATTTGGTGATGGGAAGCCCACAGAGATTACAAGTGAGATGGAAAAAGGCACAAAATGATGTAAAAGTAAACTACTATATTAATTAAAATAAATAAATAAATAAATAAATAAATAAATAAATAAATAAATAAATGCTCAAAAAAAATAAAATAAAAAAGAGTAAACACACACACACACACAAAATCCTCAGGTCTTTTTGCAATTACCCAACTCTGCCATTGTACTGTGAAAGCAGCCATAGGCAATCAGTAAAACCAGTGGTATGTCTGCAATTTGCTTGGCTCTCTAGAGAGTGGGAGAGTGAATGGACTGTCACAGATTGCTAGGGAGTATGAAAGACTGACTTGAGATTTGTTTGTGAGTTTAAAGTGAGACTGTTGCTGTTTTCCTCCAGCCACATTCACTCCATGGGCGAGAGTCTGTCAAGGTTGATTTTGATAGAATTTGAATGTAGAGGTGTCTGGTCCTGAGCTTTTGTTTTGGGGAAGATTTTATTATTACTTTCTTGTTAGCTTAACTGGAAGTTTATTTTTGTATCTTCTCAAAGAACCAACTCAGCCTCATTGGTCTTTTGTAGAGATCTTTTTGATCTCTTA